CGCTACATCAGGGCCCCCAAATGCCCTGGTACGGCCGAGAGTGGGGAGAGTCCGCTCTTCCTCACGAAATGCTCTCGCATGGCCACGCGTATATAGCCCCTGCCAAGGAAGTCCTACTCACTGCCTTCTCACCATTGGGGTGTTGTTTACGAAATCAATAGGACGAGAAGCGAATGTTCGACGCTTTAACAGTGTTGGTGGACACGGAGTGTCCATCTAGAGAAGTTAGAAAACCCTGACTTCATACCAATGGTGTACATGGGATCCAGGATTCTGAAGGAACAAATGGCGTATGAATCAATCGTCGGTCACCGACTACCATGAAACTGCATCTGTTCACGATACTCCACTGCATTGTGGATCAAACTTTTATATCGGAGGCTCCGTGTGTGGCTACCTAAGAAAACCACTTGTTTCAGTTTGGGCACCCGAACAGTATCACAGCCTTCACACAAATCAAATGAGATTTGTGAGGCGCATATATATCTGGTGTCCCTTTGTACCAATATTTGTGTTTAAAAAAATAAATAAATAAAACTAAGTGGTTGAAGAACGTTTCAAACATCACACTTTCAATCGCTGAATTCAACGTACCCGATTTAGTTAGTAATCAATTCAAACAACTTGAACTATGGAATCTCACACATAACCAGCGAAGTCAGTACACTAACGACATACTCATACAAATCGTAGCATCTTATCTGTGCTCTGTCCATGTATAAGCACTTCTTATTAATCTTTTTCGCCAATGATCCCATTATCATTTTTATGTTGTCGTGGTGAATTAATTACATAAGACTTTTACCTGATTAAAGTGATTTAATTCCATTTGTTTATTTCTTTTGCTCTATCGTTTCCCCTCATTTATTGTATTATCTACATCATACACCCGTTTTTCTTCTGGATATCATCTCATATTATTATTTCTATGCCTTTGAATGGTTTTTAAGTTTGATATGTATTGTGTTGATACGGATCATGTTCATTATGTACTGAATCATCTAACAAATCATTGGCTCTATGAAGCTAATGATCCATTATCGTTTGATTTTTATTTATAAATAAGTAACTAAGTGGATGAAGTTCATTCATCCAATTTATTCCATGTTTTGTTGTTCATTACTATCATCGCTTAAACGGAGTTAGCTTAACTTTTATATACAGAGTTAAACGGAAAATTTACATCCATGACACATTCACATACTTTAATCTAAATCGGAATCAGATCTCAGGACACCAATGTTCTCTATCATTATGATATTCTTCAGTAGACTACTAAACGACATTAATCAAATGAATCAAAGAAATCATTACTTACTTTTATTTATGCCGGTTACCCCTCGTGGAGGAGCGTTGACTGCTCACCAGTAATGAAATCATTAATGATTGTAAATGTTAATGTAATGAATAACATAGCTAAACTGTTATTACATTATACAACTTACGCTTTTCCTTATTTCTACTTAAGTACTTGTTCAACTATCTCAAGTTATTACATAATCCAATTTCATTATACTATATTAACTATAGTTTATCATTTAGCTATCAATAAACAAACAATAATTAGGCTACCATACCCATATATATTTTTAAAAAATCTCATCATCGAATTACATTTGACGGAGAAGCTTTGGAAGATGTGAAAACCTTTACATATCTGGGCTGCATCGTCGATGAACACAGTGGATTGATACAAATCGGCAAAGCAAGAACAGCATATATATTAATAGTTGTCTACGCAAGATACTTCGGATCCGTTGACTATCAGCAACAAGTTACTGTGGGAGACAACAAACCAAATTTTAGGGGAGGGAGAAATCAGGAAGAAGCGCTGGAAGTAGATAGGACACACATTGAGGAAAGCAACCAACTGCGTCACAAGACAAGCCCTCACACGGAATTCCGAAGGTCAAAGAAGAAGAGGATGACAAAAGAACACATTACGCCGAGAAATGGAGACAGACATGAGAAGGATGAATGACAATTGGATAGAATTGAAAGGAAGGCGTGGGACAGAGTGGGTTGGAGAATGCTGGTCGGTGGACTATGCTTCATTGGGATTAACCGGCGTAAGTTAGTAAGTACGTAAGTAATTTTACCAGCTGAATTTAAAAGAATCAATCTAAACAATGAACTAATTATTGATGACAATTATCAAGAACCCGGACAGGATTGGATGGGGAATACTGGTATGCGGCTTATGCTCCTCTACGAGGGATAACAAGCGTAAGTAAGTAATTATCAAAAAGTTATATACACATGATACTATTATTTTCATAGTTGAAATCATGAGTCGATTGAAGCTAGACCACCATGAAAAACCTGGAAGCACTGGACGGCCGTTTCGTCCCACTGTGGGACTGACATCAAGAGTGATTTCTTAGAGTTCTAGTTGTAAGCAGTGGTCATGGGTTCGAATCTAGCGAGGTGGGATCGTGAATGAACTTTGCTTAGGAGTACCACGTTATCACGAAACGACCGTATAGTGCTTCAAGGTTTTCTATGGTAGTCTAGCTTCAATCGACTGATGATTTCAACTATGAAAATACTGATACCTCCACAAAACCCCTTCTCATTATAACACTGTTAATTTATAAGTAGTATGTTATAACACAAGTCATTTTTATATCAAATAAAAAAACAATTACATATATAATAAAAATCAATAAAAATTACATCATTGATTACATCAGTTACTATAGAAAATGATGCATCATTCTACAAAATAATATGACTATACTACTGAAATGAATTACAACAAAATAATATCATTGTTTCTATGCAACACAATAATAATGATACAAAAAAAACAAATTCCATGAAGATCATTGATTCCTCTATTGTCTTTTAGATAACCAGAACCACACGATGAAGCCAACGCCTACAACGACGAGACCAATGACTGATGGTATCAAAACATATAGGTAATTAAACATTGGCTTGTTATCCTTCTGATCACTTTTGTTATCCATTTGTTCAGTTTTCTTATCCTTCTGACCACTTTTGTTATCCATATGTTCACTTTTCTTATCCTTCTGATCACTTTTCTTATCCTTTTGCATATTCTGAAAGGAACAAACAAGCAAACAATCGAAATAGTAAAACAGATTTACAATATAGAATGATATTGGGAAAAGCGAAATCTGTTCAGTTCAATAATTACTTACAATCTTTGGACAATTATTAATCATCCAAGCCTTCGAAAGTGTATCACGACCATTACTACACAGATTAGCTGTTAAACACCAATGACATTCCATATCAAGTTTCGATGCACTTAAACATGCTTCATTTGAATCTTTCATGAAACAACTTTCTGGAAAAAAAAGAACAATATAAGGGTATTTCAAGTTATTAAATAAAAGATAAATCAAGTGAAGTTAAACCATTATGGGGAACCTGAATGCACTGTATGGCTGTTTCGTCCTATTGTGGGACTCCTCAGTAGTGCACGTTACGTATTGTGATCATGAATATACTTTGAATATAATTCATGTTTTATGACAGTATGTTAGAATTGAACAAATCAATGTAGTGAATTTCACTGACGGTCCTCATTCAGACATGTACACTTCAAGATGTCATTTGGTTAAACAAATCATGCTACATTGAATTACTCATGGTTGTAGAGTTTCTTCCCTTCACTTATACTGGGTATTTGGAAATCAGTACAAGAAAGTCAGTTGTTTGTGGAATAAAACGTGACATTGTACTTGCCAAGATTTCAATCAATCTACCACAGTGAATTGGAAAGTCTCTGTAGTTATTCATTGTACATACTGATGAGAAAGAAAACATTATCATTCTGTGAAAGTTGTCAGTATGTTTGATACTGTACAAATATCTACTAACTATGACAAATTGCCATTTGACTATGGTACTTATCTCTACCTTTAATTTACTGTATAAGTATGAGAAAGTAAAGCTTTCAGAAATAACACTATTGTTATCAAAGTAATGACAATCACATAGAATGTTTCTGCAATTTTAATACCTCAAGGAACTTCCATATCATATGCATTAAATAAAAGGAACAATGGAAACTTCCTTGACACTGCATCCTTAACTAACTGTCAATAAATTTAAATCAAGACTTGTATCATCTAATCCATCGTATTGTGACATTATGGTTACGTAGAATTAATCAAAATGGAGACTAAAATATTCAACAGGGGTTTTCTAAAGTATATCGAATATTCAACGATGAATCGAACTGAAGAGAACATCCGTTGAGATAGATAGCTACATATTGTAGACCATCAACGTTGATGATCTATATCGAATGATTGGAGGCCTACTCGAGTTAGATGGGAACGGTGAAACGAACAAGCTTACTTCGAAGTCACACCTCTCGATTAGCACCTCACTTGGATTGCCCCATCCACCCATCAAGAGACCGTGGATGCTCTGAAGACAACACAAAGGACGTTATTACAGGAATATATTAGTTAAAGTAGATGCAAGCGAAAGTAGAACCACTGCCGCATGGGCTAGTCCATGGCGTATGATTAACTGATGCGCGTTGATTGTCTTTGACCTTGACGGAGATCGATGATCTGATCGATATTTAGTGACTCAACTGCCGGATGATTTGACTAGGGTTCAGTGGTTCTACAAGATCATTTAATACCCGACTAAAATGACATTTGTAATTCTTAATTTGAAGTAATAAAATTAAAATGTTCAAGTATGAAAATGATCAATATTAATGAAATGCGTTTCAACATACTTGTATTTGGTTCAAACTCCACTAAAGTATCAAATTTGATAAAGTTTATTGGAACGTGAATTCGATTGTATGGTTCAAAAACAGTATCTGATTGAATAAAAGAAGAAACACTTCAATTTCATAAATTTCTATTGAAATGATAACAAATAGTTTGTATCATTCAACTTGTAAACAAAGACAAAGGACACTGTTGACTTTGGATAAAGTGACCATATCAATTGAGTGAGTGCCCTCTTTAATATATGACGTGATGATCCTAGCCAAATCAGAGAGGAGTGAATGATCGATGAGAGCAATGACTCACAAAATCCGTATGAGCAGTCTTGAGTACTTATCAGTCCTGCTATCTGCTTAGCCCAGCCAGTTAAGTCCAGGACACCAATCTCAGCCTCTGTAATATGAATCATTATTCACAAAATTACTGGGTTTTTATACCTATCAAAATGACCACATCGCACATCGGTTTAAGTAGTATAAACATAACACTGACGTTGATTTCTCAAAATACAGTAAATTTTAAATAGTACTCTCATAAAAAGTATTCCAACTTTATTTTGGACATTAGTTCTTAATAATTGAATGATATTTCGAACAGTTTATTTTACACACGGTGTAGTGTAGTCTACTTATATCCATATAAGTAGTAGTATATGGCGATGGTCAGATATAGAATGTATTTTGGCAGAAGACCGATAAGGAAAGAACAGGAATGCAGCGCCATTTGGTAGGAAAATGCATGAACAATGGAATTAGAGAAGATGGATTGATATTTACAGAAGGAACGGCGAATATTGAGACAATGGATTGATAGTTTGCAAGTTAACTGTTTGCTGTATGGTAATCAGAATTTAGTGAGATCATCAGTGTTTTTGTTCATTACAACGGAACAATCGACTGATGTAGACTGTAAGAAAATGACATTAAATTACAATGATAGATTACAGTAAATTTCCATGATGACAAGGTGATAACTAGTCGGATTGTCGATGTACGTCACTGTACATCGGAACATTCAGAAAAAATACCGGTAAAATTGTTCTTACTGTTTTGTTTATCTAAACATTTGTATCGATAATCAATCCACAATTCCAAATTTTCTCCAACAATTTCCTTGGGTATCTGGAAATAAGCATGTGATATATAAGCCAAGATCTGTCAAACACACAACCACCTAGATCAAAAGCAACTAAACATTTCAGTAGTATATCATTCATTAGGTCATTCTATTCAAAGACAACTAGTCACACACACACAGTATGTATGCTAATATTATCAGTTTGTTTTCCAAGATGCTTCTTACATAGGTATTCTGACTTAATCTAGTCGTCCAAAATAATTGAGGTCTAATGTACAATCTATGTTTGATGGAATGGTGTGATACAACGTAAGAGTAATAGCTACGTCTGTTCAAATAAAATGTGATTTTGAATCTTCCTTATAGATACTAAACAATGTTTCCAGATAATTTCCCATTATTTACGATGAATTCAGCCTTACAACACATCATCTGTTCCATCTTATCACTAGTTTACAATTAATCAACAGCGTCTGTATACTATACCAATGGCAAAGAAAGGGCTGCATTTATACAATTGAAGAAAAGATGGAACTCAAAACAACACTCAACTAATTTCAAAGTGACAATCTTCAATACGAATATCAACACAGTCAGTCCTACTGTACGGAGATGAAACGTGGAGCACTACTACATCCCTCATCAAGTAAGAAGGTACAAGTATTTATAAACAGTTGTCTACGCATAATACTCAACATTCACTGACCGGATACTATCATCAACAGTGTTTTATGGAAGAGGACAAAACAGCTTCCAGCTGAAGAGAAAATTAGGAAAAGGTGTTGAAAATTACTAAGACATACATCAAGGAAAACACAAATGTGCATCACGAAGCAATTCCTAGCTTGGAATCTGGAAGAGAAACGGAAAAGAGAAAGGCTCAAGAACACATTACGTCGAGAGATTGAAGCAGATATGAAAAGATTGAATGGTAACTGGAAAGAACTGGAAAGGAACGCTCAGGACAGAGTTGGAAGGAGAATGCTGGTGTGCGGCCTATGCTCCTCGACGAGGGGTAACAGGCGTAAGTAAGCAAGTATGTAAGTAACTGTATACCAAGTAGGTGAAGGGCTAAACAATGATATTCAAATAACTATACACTCTAAAATGATCAACAATTTCATCAATAAACCTATTCCAACTATCCTACAATGAACATTTCACAACAGATTATCTTTGAAAGACGAAATAACGATTGTCTAAATTTCACCGTTTTCATAAAATACTCTTATGTACAGTGTTTGTTTTGAATCGGTGGTAGTACATCAAATCGTCTCCTACAAAAGTAGTACACTTCCAATTCCTAACCGTCTTCGAAAATAATGGTAGAAAAAAGTTTGTTGTTATTATTATTCGTTATAATGTCATGTCATGTGTCTTACTTACTTACTTACGCCTGTTAATCCCAATGGAGCATAGTCCACCGACCAGCATTCTCCAACCCACTCACTATGTCATGTGCCTTCCTTTCTAGTTCTATCCAGTTGTTGTTCACTCTTATCATACCTGTCTCCATTTTTCGGCGTGATGTGTTCTTTGGTCTTCCTCTTCTCCTTTTGCCTTCAGGATTCCTTGTGAGGGCTTGTCTTGTGACGCAGTTGGCTGATTTCCTCAATGTGTGTCCTATCCACTTACAGCACTTCTTCCTGATTTCTTCCTCCACTGAAATCTGGTTTGTTGTCTCCCACAGAAACTTGTTGCTGATAGTGTCTGTCCATCGGATCTAAAGTATCTTGTGTAGACAGTTGTTAATGAACACCTGGATCTTCTGGAAGATGACCTTCGTAGTTCTCCAAGTCCCCGCCCCATACAGTAGAACTGTCTTGATATTTGTATTGAAAATTTTGACTTCAGTGTTGGTTGACAATTGTTTTGAGCTCCAGATGTTTCTCAGTTGTAAATATGCTATATCATGTGCCTGCATATGACAAAATGCTGATTACCTTTTTCTCATGTTAAGCGACTTATGATACATTGAACAGTAGTCAAGTGAATAAGACAGCTAATTGAAATAATTTGAAATACCATTACATCTCCATTCAGTAATATGACTTACTCCGTTAAAGTAAATAAACATCTTCCCATTTGGATATATCAGATAAAGTACCGAACCTCCTACAATTATAAAATGAATACTATCATTACTTAAAAATATTGAGGAAACATTAATAAACATGTTATTGTTGAATTTCACATTGTATATGCCTATTCATCAAGTGATCTAATCTTAGAAGAAATTCAAGTTGAAATGATCTCAT